ATCTTTCTTCCTACCCCCCTTTTATTAGTAAAAAAGCTCCTGGAAAAAGTTAAACACTGGCCAAAAGCTGGTGGGGATTTCCCACAAGCTAATACAAGCTAACTGTCATTTATTCATTAACAACATCACCATTACTATGGCAGTGCTAAACACTTACAGAAACATTTCAAAGCAAAACCACATTAAGAGCACTTAATTACTTAGATTGTGTAATAAGAAATATTTTAAATAAAAATTTAAATACCAAAATAGAAACAAGTTAATGAGGAAATTGATGTCTAAAATTTTGCCTTTTGTCTATTTATTTTGCACCAACACTAACACAACAAAAGGAGTAAGAACAAAAATAATTAAAAATCATTACTGAGCAAGTTAGATCCTAGAAAACATCATTAGTTATTTGGGGCCAAAAGAATGATTTTGAAATGGTATTTTGGTGGTTTATGGACACCAAAAAAATCTTGTGATGTCATTAATTGAGATGGCAATTTTCTTTATTTTTAGAATTATTTTATTTAACTTCTATTTATTGTGGTTTTTTTTACATGCTGAATTTTCTTTCTTTCTTTCTTTCTTCTTATTATTTTTATATTACATTTAATCACATTTATCTTTACAGTATATAACATTTCTTTTTTCCAGTATGATTACCATGCATATCAGTCAAGACAAAGACATGTCATTATCATCAAATAACTTTTTTTAGATTATTATTTATTATTATTGTTATTATTTATTCTCATCATCATTATTATTACTATTACTATTATTTTTGGAGAGGTTTTTTTGCTATAGGGAGTGTGTGCTTGCCAGAAAGACAAAGAGACATAGAGAGACAGAAAGTGAAAAAATCACCCCCCCAGGGGTGATGGCCACACTGCAATGTCTTCTCCTTCATTTTCCTCTTGGGATCTTGGGCACGTACGCACATAATGTAAGACACCAGGTCCGGGACTTGAATCACAGTCAACTACATGGGAGTCCAGTGACACAGCTATTATGCCATCTGCTGGTCCTAGCATTATTATTTTCTAAATATTCAATCAGCATGTATCATTTGGCTTGTAAAAAGAATTTACCCAACATGAAATACATCTCAGACTAGTCCAGTTGAGAATACTATTCATATTATCTTCAACAGGTAATAAACCATTTCTGTGACCCACAAATCAGATAGCAATTTTCTTAGAGTAAGATGTAATCAACTGACTATTGGGCCCATGGCCTCCTGCAGAGCTGCAGAGCAATCAGGGATTCATAGCTACCTACCTATTCTCATTTACTGTCCTGCAGCAGGGATGGTGCTGGTGGGCACTAGACTGGCCTTGTCACTTAATTAGCCAGTGTGTCACATGGATAGTTGGCAACATAAAAACTTAACTCTGGGAGTGTCAGCTCTAAATGTGGGCCTAACTCATATTGGCTTCCTGGAGTGCTGAGGTCAGTAGCTGTAGGCTGGTTTAATGAACAGCTGCCTCTCCAAACAAAAGGCCCTGCTTTTTAGCATTTACTGCTATTTTGAGCCACCACACGCTGTTACTGTACATGGAGTTAAATGATGCACACTATAGCACCCGTCGCTGAAGCCTTTCCACAAGGCAGACAAGACAGATGTCAATAACTCAAGGGTCTAGATAATAGTAGGATAAAAATTGGGACCAGGAAGCTTTCAGTATGTATAAACTGTGTTTTGTTTTGTTTTCACTGCCAGAGGGTATGTAAGCTTGCCAGAGACAGAAAGCACCCACAAATAGGACATATGCACACTGCAATCCTTTTTCTTTCTTCTTCCCGTCAGGATTCGAGGCATGTGTGCATATGTGCCCCACGTGTTCTTCAAGCCATAATGTCTTTGGTTCAAAGTGGTTGGTCAAGTGGAATCCAGCTGCAGCAATCACTGGACCAGCTCTGTGGCCTCTGTTTTAATAAGATTTTTTTTAATGTACAATTAAATTTTTTAAAAAATTACTTATTTAATTTTATTTGTTATTACTATTTTTATTATTTAATTTGACCAGAGAGATACACAGAGAGAGAGAGCAGAAAGTGAGAAAGCAAGCTACTGGTCTGGGACTTGAACCGTGAACTGCCTTGTGGGAGTCCAGCACCTCAACTACCACATTACCTGTCAGTCTCCAATTTAATTTTTAATAACAATGGCTGCAGTTACTGAAAATTTTACAGTCAACTTTTGCATGTGCGTGTAAGCTAGATCCAACTCAGACCACTGTTTGAGCTGCCTGTTACTTCAAAGGGATAACAGCTACAGAGATGGCGGTACCCCTCAGCCAATGAGTGTACTCAAGTCTGGATCATTTCTTTTACTTCTCCTTGTCCTTAGAAATTGGAGTTAGATTATAAAATATCTAAAATCTTCTTTGGGCTGTATAATTTACGTAATACAGTTTATTCACTTACATGTTTTTCTGACTAAAGTCACTCTCTTGTCACTCTATTTCTCCTTACCCTGACTTTAATAGTAGCCCACTGGCTGCCTGACACTTTATATATAACCTTTATTATAATGTAAATTGCAAGAGGGTAGGGATTTGCTTTGATATTATTTTTCAGTGTCCACCACAGTGTCTGGTATATGTTACTAACCTACTCCATAAGAATTTGATGAATAAATAAATAAATGAATGCAAGAAGTGAGAATATAAGGAGTTTAAAATAAATTGGTTACTAAAACTTTGAAAAGTCAAAGACTCTTTGTAAGCCTACGTCACTCTCCAATTTCCTTTTTTTTTTTTTCCAAAAAGCAAGTGGAAGAACATAGTACCTAGCATAATAGCAATGGGAAGTACTGAACAAACAGGTTTTTTTTTTCTTTCTATGTCATGACCAAGCCCAGCAATTTTAAAGATAAGGTGTCACTAAGTTGTCCTGGCAGTCTCAAGCTCGTGAGTTACTGGAATGACAGGTGCACATCATCACACCTGGCCACTTGGGTTGGATCAGGAATTGAACCTGGGCCTCCCATGCAGTCCTAGCCTGCAGAGCACAGTGTCTTAGCAGTACACATCACAGAGGCTGGGGCATTTATTTATTTATTTATACCAGATGAAGAAATTGGTGCTAAATAGTACTAAACGACAAATGATCCAAATCTGCTTTTCAAATTAAAAGCTACCATATTAACAGATGAATGGGTAAATTGTCGATTTTTATGAATATTTACTTTTTTAGTAATACTTCAAGAACCCCAACTACGAAATGATAAAAATTTTAAAAATCACTTTTCCTTTAGTCTATTAAAATCTGAAGTAAATAGCAAAAGATAATTAAGAGTTTCCTAACACTCATAGTTCCCTCTGAAAGGAAGAATGGACTAAAAAAAAAAAAAAAAGAAAGAAAGAAAGAAAAAGACATTGTTTTTCATAGTCCAGCAAACTATGTACAACAACTTCCTGTAGATAGGCCAGTGTAGTCAACTTACCTCAAATTCTCTGAGGAATCCTTCGGCTCGGAGACTGTTGTTCAGGTTGCTGATGTTTTCAGTCAGCTGCGGAACAGAGTTGTTGGACCATCTGTCGATCTCGTCTTTACCTGAAAGTACCTCATCCCAAATGGACAGGCCTACTCTCAGCCTCTCCATGTTTTCTTCAATTCGCTCTGATACCTGGGGTAGAAAATAGAAGCCATTACCAGGGCATTACTAGGCTGATGCTTTCAAGTGCTCATTCCCCAACTAAAGTACTAAAAATGCCAGCACTTCCTTCCTCAGGAAATTATATTCTGACTAACAAGGTTTTACAAAAATTATTACAAGCTAATCCCTTGACTCAGGCAAATGCTAATGAATACATTGTTTCTGCCATTAGGAGAGTTGTTTGAATTTTGCGACATTAAATTTTCGTTTATAAAGTGAGAAACTATGCAATAGGTCTGTTGGGACCTACTGTAGCTCACTGTTTAACAGTGAATTCTACAGGATCAACGTCCTTCTAGGACAGTATTTTATTGAGTTATTTACCATGATTTAAAAAAATTTTTTTTGCAACAAGGCATGTGCACTTACCAGAGAGAGAGACAGAGAGAGGAGAGGGAGACAGCATCTCCACCCGATGGGGCATGATCACACTGCAATCCATTTCTCCATCCTGTTGGGATTTGGGGCATACATGCTAATGTGCCAGAAATGTTTTTCAAGCCAATGCCAGCATTTGAACTATGTTGTTGGCTGTGTGGGATCTAGCTCCCTTAACCACTAAGCCACAGGGCCAGTCCATGATTATCTTTTAAAGTTGATTAATTTCTTTCTTTTATGAGAGAGACAGAAAGAAACTCTTGACTGGAGCTTGCCATACTGCAATCTTCCTCCCAGTCTCCCAGCAAGCTTATAGCACAGGCGTGAGTGCCTGGCATATTCAGGTCAACCTGAGCTCTGAACCCAGGCCTTCCAAGTGGCTCCAGCATCATTTGGCAGTGTCCTATCACCATTGTCACCATGGCTAGGCCTGTATTTATTTTTAAAAGTAACAAACTAAGCACTTCTATTTGTAATGTTGAGGTAGAAGAAAGGACATTGAATTCTAATATATTTAAAATGTAAGTAAATGCGGCCAGCAAGTGGCATAGTGGTTAAAGCATTGGACTCTTGTGTGGTAGACCACTGTTCAAGTCCTGGACTTGGCAGCTTGAAACTCATGCTGGATGCATGTACACATTTGCCCCAAATCCCAAGAGAATGGAGGAGAAAGGATTGTGAGATACTATTCCCCCGACTCTCTATCTCTGTTTCTCCAACAAATATACATGCCTTATTGCAAAAATCTCCCCCCAAAAAGTAAGTTTTCATATTTAATGTATTATTGCTTAACATTCTTCCTATAATAAGAATATTCTTTTAATCGTGGAGGCCGTCCAAATAGCATATAAAGTCTCCTTCCATCCTCAAATTATTAGATGATATTACACAAGTAAAAATTTCTAACTTTCATAGTTAGTTTATGTAAGGGAACACTGTAGGTTAAGTTTCTAAACCTAGATGTTGATAATGGAGCAGAAGCAACAGAATCATTGGATTTTTAAGCTGAAAGATAATGTAAAAATATCTGGATAACAAAGTAAAGTTCCTGGGAGAGCAAGTGACTTGTCACAATCACAAGTTAGTGCGTGACAGGGGCGTGGTGGCGCCCGCCCTATGACAAGTTAGTGTGTGACAGAGAGAGATGCAGAACCCAAGATGCAAACTACAAGTCCAGTGTTTCCCAATGCAAAATTATAGCCTTATTACTTTTCACTATTATATATTATGCCTCAAGATTCTGTGGGATGTTTATAAATGATTCTTCTATTCTTACCCATAACTCCAGAGTTCTGAGAAGAAAAACACCCAGAATTATAATTTGTTGTGATTGAAGGTATGAAGTGAAATTCCAGAAATAATCTGACAATCTTTTAACAAAATGGAGCCAATAATTTTTTCCTATTTCTAAACTTCATATGAGCACTATTTTGCTTCTGAATATCACTTTCCATTTAGCATGGAAAGTTAACCAGTTCAATTCATATCCCTGAATAATCCTTTGCCTAACAAGTTCAGGGAGAAACATGAAAGTTGAAAGGTTCACAGAATCTGGGGATTGTCTTACATCCAGCCATTTGTCCACGGTGCTCTCCATATCTGTCTTTACCAGGGCAAAATCACTACTGTGAATTTTTTTCAGCTCAGATAGTAAGTGTTTTCCTTTATTGGTAAAGTTATCCAACTCTTTCTGTTTATAATTCATTTCATTCTTGGCAGTTTCATGCTGTGGGCATAAACAGTTCCGTAATTAATACAATAACCAGTGGTAAGAGTTTAAATCCATTCTCCTCTAAGGATCTTAATTCATGGTTATCTTATGCAGAAATTGGTTATATTAATTAACTATATAAATATATGTGTGTGTGTGTATAATATCATTTTTTTGAGTCTCTAGAACTCTAGAATATCAATATTGCTGGTTGGGTTTGTTAGCATGAATTATCCACATCTAAATGTACTGATAAGAATTGTGCAAAAAAGTGCTTTACAGAAAAGAACAGATCTGCTAGTCTACTAAAATGAATAAATTTGAATTTTACCTTGGATAAAGCCCATTTAAGATCCTCCTGATCTTTCATAGTAGTTCTGGTTATGGTCACATTGCTGGCATTTTCTAGGACTTTAGAAACAGCTGACTTCAAGTTCTGATATTCTCTCATTAAGTCGATAAGCCCACAGCATTGACCCTGGCTGGAATAATTAAAGCAAATATCTCCTTTAGTGTCATGTCTCAGGAAAGAGGAGCATTCTCCATGATTGGATCTGACATAGAACTACATAAATGCCCTCACAGATGGGTGCTAGACCCAAGGAAAAAAAACAGGTTTCTACATACAGAGGTTAAAATAGCACTGCTGGTAATCCTACCTAAGTCTAATATCCCAAATGCTGTCTATGAATGAAATGCATGAGTAATTAAAACAAATCTATGGGGCTAGCCCATGACATGGTGGTTGAACCAGTTGGATATCACATGACTGAATGAATGGTTTGAGTCCCAGACCCAGCAGCCTGAAAAATATCCCAGTTGCATGTGTGTGCATGCCCATGATCATGAAATGAAAGATGAAGAAGGGACTGTGGCATGGTCATCCACCCTGGGTAGCAGGGGGACTGCATTCTTACTTCCTCTATCTCTGTCTCTCTTCAAAGAGCATGCATGCCCTAAAAAATAAATCTATGAAACAAAGAAGCAATATATGTTCTTAACAGTTACACTTAGCTGAATCACTCATTTTTTTGTTAAATGGCCTTTTCCATGCCATCTTAATTATTTCATAATGGCATATGTTAGGAGAAGAAAACAACAAAGCAAAAAAAAAACACTGCTCAAAAATGAAAATCCATGTGAGTCTTTCCCTCTCATCTCATGTAACAAATTTTTGTTAAATATAACTCTCCTGAAAATTGTCAAAATAAGACAGAGTTTTAATTTATAAAGTGCCTGTGAGCAAGCAACTCTACACCAAGACATTTTTCTGAAGAAACTGTGTGTGTGTGTGCACACTAAGATGTAGGTAAAACAATATCCTTCACATCACTATTTGTAATAAGAAAGAAAAAAATAGAAATAATCTAAATGTTAAAAATAGGGCAATGATTGAATGAATTCTGATACATCCTCATTACTGAACATAGTGTTATCTCTAAGAAATAACAATTTAGGAGAATGTTTAATAATATGGAATAAAGGGAACCAGCAGTTAGCGTAATGGCTATGTCGCTGGATTCTCACATAGTCGACCGCGGTTCGTGTCCCGAACCCGGTGGCTTAAAACTCACGCTGGGCACGTGTGCGTGCGTGCCCAAGATCCCAAGAGGAGAATGGAGGAGAAGGGATTGCGGCATGACCATCCCACCTGGGGGGTGATTTCTCGCTTTCTGTCTCTATGTCTCTCTCTGTCTGTCTGGCGAGCGCATGCGCCCTACAGTGAAAATCTCTCCAAAAAAAAAAAAATAATAATATGGAATAAAGATGGTGGCACATAATTCAATTTAAAAAAACCTATGAGGACCAGCAAGTGGCATAATGGTTACATTGCTGGACTCTCTTGTAGTCTACCGCAGTTCGAGTCCTGGACCTGGTGTCTTAAAACTTATGCCAGTGCACGTGTGTGTGACCAAAACCCCAAGAGGAGAATGGAGGAGAAGGGATTGCAGCGTGGCCATCCCCCCTGAGGGATGATTTCTCACTTTCTATCTCTCTGTCTGTCTCTGTCTCTCCAGAAAGCACATTTGTCCTATAGCAAAAATCTCTCTAAAAAAAAAAAAAAAAGAAAGAAAGAAAGAAAAGAAAAGAAAGAAAAGCCTTATGTTACACATTGGTATTATTTATTCATTTATTTTGCCATAGGGCACATGCACTTGCCAGAGAGAGAGAGAGAGAGATAAAGTGAGAAAGCATCCCCAGGGGGATGGCCAAGCCACAATCCATTCTCTTCCAGTCTCCTCTTGGACTTTAGGCACCCATACACATGTACCTGGCATGATTCTCAAGCTGCTGGGTCTGGGACACCAACAGTGCAGTTAGCCACGTGGAATCCAGTACCTTAACCACCACACCAAAGTTCATTTTGTTTTGTTTTGTTTTTGAGAGTTTTTTTTGTTTGGTTTTTGAGCACGTGCACTCACCAGACAGACAGAAAGAGACAGAGAGACAGAAATGAGAAATTACCCCCCAGGGGTGATGGCCACACCACAATCCCTTCTCCTCCATTCTCCTCTCAGGATCTTGGGCATGCACACACACACGCCCAGCGTGAGTTTTAAGCCATCGGGTCCGGTCAGCTACATGGGAGTCCAGCGACATAGCCATTATGCTAACTGCTGGTCCCACCACGGTTTGTTTTTAAAATACTATAGATGTCCAATTGTTTCAGCACCATTTATCGAAGGCACTATCTTTTCCCTCTTAAATTGCCTTTGCACCTTTGGCAAGAACTAATGTGTGTAGGTCTACTCCTGACTCCATTTATTCTCCTGGTCTACACAATTTAGTCAATACCACACTTAAACTAACAACTGTCGGTCCTCTAGTTCTTTTTCAAAACTGTTCTGGCTACTTTGTCTTTTGCATTTACATATAAACTTTACAATCGGCTTGTCAATTATTACAAAAATTCTGTGGGTGCTAGGTGGTTTCACAGGAATTGTATTGCTGTTGAAAAAGACCTCAGTATGGCTCTGCTGCAGTGGTGTAGGTGGCAGAGCTCTGCTGTGTGATACTGAAGCAGTACAAGAGTTCAGATCCTGGGTTGACCTGAACACACCAGTGAACATGGCTGTGATCCCATCCCTGCCTCTCATAAAAAATAATAACAATAAACTTTTAAGAAGTGAAAAAGGAGGCCAACAGTGTCATGATGGTTAAAGCAGCTGGATCCCACATGACCAACTATGCAGTTCAAGTCCTAGACCCAGAGGCTTGAAATATATGCCAGGGGCATGTACGTGTTTGCCCAAGTCCTGAGAGAAAAATGGAGGAGAAGGGACTTTGTGATGTGATCACTGCCTCTGTGAGTTGCTTTCTCACTTCCTCCTTTCTCTCTCTCCTGAGTGCACACACCCTATAGAAAAAACTAAAATTAAAAATAAAAATAAAGGAAAAAACGTTAATAACAACAACAAAAACATTGCCTCCCCAAAATGGCCCATGTGAATAGGCATTTTATTAAAAAGTTATGACAGAACTAACCTTGAAGTGCTGTGTGTAGAAAGCCAGCCCCCATACAACCAGCCATAGTTGAAATTCCACTCCTGGCAGCTTAAAAATCATGCCAGGTACCTTTGTATGTGTACGTAAAATCATGTTGGGATGGAGACATGGAGGAAAGGGATTGCAGCATGACCCTGACCCACTAGGGGGCGCTTTTTGTTTGTGCCTCTTTTTTTTTTCTTTTTTTCCTGTTTCTCACACACACACTCTGGCAATCAAATTTTTTTAAAAATAAAAAGAAGATATGGCAAGTATTAGGTCGTCAGAGAAATCATGAGTATTTTTCTATGCAAAAAAAAATGACTTCTCTGATGACCCAATAGCATATGAAAATATGTTCCATATCATTAGTCTTCAGGGAAACACAAGTTGAAAAGGAATGAGAAATCTCTACACATATATTAGGACATTAAACAACAAATAAACAAAAAATCGGCATTTCCAAGTGCTGGATTACCACTCTCATCCATGCTGATGTAAACGCAATGTGGTACACTCACTTTAAAAGAAAAAAAATGCCAGAGAACACACGTGCTCCCCAAAGATAACAAGAGGAAAAGCAAGAAAGCACTCTCCATGAGACACGGCACGTGCAGTCCTCTCTTGCCCATGTCTCCCTCCTTTTGGTATTTTGGTCATATGCACACATGCTCAGTGTTTGCGACTCAAACTGCACAGTCAGCGAGGTGGGACCCAGCCGCCTTAACCACAACGCCACTGTCTGAACCTACGATCACTTTAACAGGTAATTTAAAAATTTCTTATAAAGTTCAATTTATACTTTTCTACATCACCCAGGGTCCCACTTTTAGATATGTATCCAAGTAAAATAAAAACTTATGGACACACAAAAACTTGAAAATTAATGCTATCTATAAATGCTTTATGTATAAACCATCCAAACTGGAAAGAATCCAATTGTTCATCATCAGCTAAATGGATAAATGGTGGTACATTCTATTCAATGGAATAGTCACTACCTAAAAAAGAATGAATTATCGAAACATGTGACAACACACAATGTGTTAAGTAAATGAACTCAGACTCAAAAGGCTACCTACACTCATATGATTCTACTTATAAGTGATTCGGAAAATTACATACTACAGATAGGAAGAACTGATGGTTGATTGCTCAGAAGACGGGGGAGGGGAAGAGCTTGACTATAATGACATCTGAGGCATTTTTTTTTTTCAGTTGGTAAAGCTGTTACTGTGAAATGTGACAACTGACATAGTGACACACCTGGAGGAGTTTGTCAAAACTCGTAGAATTGAATACTACAAAGGGTGAATTTTACTGTCCTTAAATTATATCCTAATTTTATAAACAACTATGACAAAACAAAAAAGAAAAGAAAATCAAAGGTTCGGACTCTCATTGTAGTATTTTGTAATGGTTGACAACTTGTGTTTTTAACCAGTGAGTTGCACATGTAATTGCTATTTGAAGACAACATCCTCAGTAAGGTTGTGTAGGATTAAATTTGGAATGTCTCTAAAGTGACACAGAACAACCCCAAATGACAAAAGATTTTCAACTCTTCATCCATCAAGACAATCAATAAACAACAGTCCAATGTCACAAGGTAAGTGGAAAATTCAAAACTGGGACATTCGTGACTTACTTTTCATGAATTAGTTTTTTGGTGTCATTCCAAGTGACTTCTAAGCGATTGACCTCTTTGTCAACTTCAGGTGCAAAAGTCACATCTTTCTGTGCAATTTGCTTAGCTTTGTCTTTTAACCAACACAGTTCATGCTCATGAGAATTTAGTTCATCTTCTAATTGATTGAACACTCTCAACCTGTGAATTAAAATGGTATTACACTGTTAATATACTAAAGGCAGTAAACGAGTATTTCCTTTCCATAAGCACATGGTAAGTCCATAAAACATACAAATACTTAGAAAAGCTTTTACTACAGGAATTAAATTAATCTGTATCAAATGACAAAGATTCATTTAAAATTAATTTTGCAATCTCACATTGTACCTCAGAAAATACTGAAAGTTATTCTTAAAACTTATCAGCTTTTATTAAGTTCGTATTCTTTATCTACTTTGCTTTGACATGAAACTTTTTTTTTGAGAGAGATTTTTGCTATAGGGTGCGTGTACTTACCAGAAAGATAGAGAAAAACAGAAAGACAGAAAGCAAGAAATCAACCCCCAGAGTGGGGGGTGGGTGTGGGGCTGGCCATACTGCAGTTCCTTCTCCATTCTTCTCTCGGGGTCTTGGGCATGCATGCACATGCACCCAGCATGAATTTAAGCCACCAGGTCTGGGACTTGAACCACAGGAACCATGGTAGGAACCACTTTTCCTACATGGGAGTCCAGCAACATAGCCATCATGCCATCTGCTGGTCCCAACATGAGACTTTTTAAAATTTCATTTTTTACATGAATTCTCTGTACATCATTACAGTATACAAAATTATATTTTCCATTCATAATACCCTGTATATTGGTTTAATCAAGGATATTACCATACGTGTTATCATCAACTAATAATTTTTCATTTCTTGTTTCTTATATATATTTTTCTTTTTTCTCCTCTCCTCCTGATTTCTAAGACTACGGCTGACCTGGTAGGCCTAGTACTAATTGCAAGGTCATTGGTAAGAAATGTTTCTGGGCCAAGTAGTCCAATCAGTATCAGTGATAATACTTAAGAATCAGTTATGTCATTTGAAACAGTTTTAATGAGCTCTATGAATACATTATACAGTTAAATTTAAATTAACTACGTAATTGAAAAGAATCACCATGAAAAAAGTTATCACAGTTTTGTCCCTAATATATTGGGTTGTCAGGAAAGTCATGATGCATTTTTGCATAGAAAAACAAAAAACTGCCTAAGGAGTTTCGTGGTTTTGCCTGCCTCACTGTAATAGTAAACTGCCTCAGTTTCCAAAGACTTAATATTAAAATTTGAGCATATGTAGAAAGTGGCCATATAGAGGCAGCCATTGACTCTTTCATGCTTGCATTTTGATAAATTGCTGTAGAATTTACAAAATGAACATATATGTTATCCCATTCAATTCTCAAAACAAAGTGGCCTTGGGCAGGTATAATCATTGTTCCTGCATTACAGAAAGAGGGGTGATTTCCCCAAGGTGGACTCTGAGTGAAACCTAAGAGGGTCCAGGATTTAATAAGTCCGTCAATTCAATGCAACATTTTCTGAAGCCTCTGTGTTATTTAGGTGAATTCTGTACACTGAGGGGTAATGATAAGGCTCTTGAGCTCAACCTAGACTTTCTTTTCCAGAAATTTTAGGGTCTCCAGTCTGCTTGGCCTGAACTGGACAGAGAGGGCCAAGATGCTCTGTAGCCCCAATGTACTGCTAACTTCCTGGGCAAGTGACACTAAGCACCTTGTTCTCTCTAAGCACCTCTCTTACTGTAGAGGCTATTTTTTTCCTCCCTAAATCACCTCCTTTGTTAATTTGTTGTAGAACCAGCCAGATAGCTTATGTCCAGTAGAGGTGAACATTGAGAGCCCAGTCTATAACCATCAAGTCCATTATCATGTAACTAAAGCCTTAATATTAAATTGACAACGGTTTTAGCAGGGACATTATACAAAGGGTTTTCAAAAAGTTCATGAAAAATGCATATTATGAAAAAACTATATGTGAATTTATTATTTATTTGGCACCAAAATAAACTAGGACTTCTACTCCATTTTTCTATGAACTTTTGAAGTCCTCTTGCAATCTTTATCAATTACAGACACCTTGATATGGATGTGAATGAACTGAATGCATTTCAATTGTGTCTTTGCTCCCTAAAAGAAAAAAAAAAAAAAGTGGCCCTGAAAATATGGTAAAGAAGGAAAAAGAAGGTTGAGAAGAAAGCTATAGTATTAGGGAAGAAAGGATTTTGCAGTTCACTAAGGAAGCTGACCCTTGACCCATTTGCTTCTACACTGATCTCACCTGACAAAACCCCACCTTTGCTCAAACTCACATCTCTACCTTCTCCACAGCTCTAAGCAAATGGTTAAAAGTGTGGAGACCACTCTGCCAAACTGGTTAGTTTCACTTCAAATGAATGAACACAGAACTCAAATGCCTTCCTAAGCTCATTTTCACAAGAGAATTTCCTCACCATTCTTTCTACTCTAATATCTGCCACCTACTCCCACTTAGCGAACTTGCTCCAGTCTTGACTGGGAGGTTACCAACCACAAGGGAGGAGCTCCTTCACATAGCACCTCCAGAACCACACATCTGTCTGCATAGCTCTTTTCTCTTCTGCCTTTACTCTGGTTACAGAATAGGAATCCCCCCTCTAACCAGTAAAAACTGCTTAAAAATAGGTCATCTGATTCATATGCTGTCTTGTAAATAAGATCTCAGAGTGACTCATACACAGGCATTATGACAATACTTAAGGAAGCCCAAGAAATTTTAGTATTTCCCAAGTATCGAATTAGTCATTCATTTTATCTTGAAAGTATCAAAAAAGGAAGTTGCTAAATGTGGTTCTATTAAAGTTCTGTACAGAAGTTAATTCCAGGACAAAGAAAACCAGAGACACTGGCTTCAACAGTTTCCTTTACCTCTGCTGAAGCGCTTGGCGCGTGGGTTCTTTGAGTCGCTCTTTGTCAGTTCTTTCTTCAATGTCCTCGATGCTTTTCAGCAGCTCCTCCTTCTGGTCTTGGAATGCTTTTTTCAATACTGCCAAAGCATCTGCTTCACTCTGCTTGGTTCCCAGGAGGTTCTGGATCTTCTCCAGTTCTAAACAGAGCTGATCAGATGTGGCTCGGCAGGAAGTTCTATGCTCAGAGCTCCCGCTTTTCAGATGGTATTGGGCTTTGGAGAGCATGCAGTCGAGACTGATGGCAGTAGATTCTAACGCTTTAACATCTTGAATAGCTTCATTCAGGTCCTTTTCTAACAAATCAGACTGTTTCTTATTCATGCTGTTGGTTGCTTCCACTGTTTGTCTCAGCTGGTGGAGAACCCCAGACAGAGAGGCCTGGCTCTGTAGGAATCCTGCCAGCTGGACCACGGCAAGCTGCCGCCGCTCCACAACCTGCATAGCCTCCTCAAACAGCTGGAAGCAGTCCTCAGCCTTTCCCTGGAGGAGGTGGAGGTCCTCTGCTCGGCCCAGAGAAGCTAGCTTTGCCAGGTGGCCCTGCAGACTTTGCCATTCTCCCTTCTTACTCTCGACTTCTGCTGCGTGGTCCTGTAGAGAAGAGAGAGTCACTGATTCCTCAGACGCCGACGGTGTGTGTGACACGGTTCTACTTCAGGTGTGAAGTGTGAACATAGACTGTAAGTACCAGGGATAGTGCAGTATTTGGAGATCATCTCCACTGAACTTTCTAGAAAACTTGGTAAGATTTCCCATTTCACTGATTAATGAGGGGATTTCAAAAAGTTTGTGGAAAATAAAATTAAAGTGCAAGTTTATTTTGGAGCAATAGAATTTTGAAATGCATTATTTCTTCACAATACACTTTCCACGTACTTGTTGAAGACAAGTATTTCACATAAATCACAATTCTGATTTAGAACTAATTAATTCTGTGGGAAAAATACTTCATGGATAGAAATCATTCGTTTAAAAAGTTGAAAATTTAAAACAACTTAAAAGATGTATGTATTTTTGTTTTAAATTTTAAAGTTTAAATGATGCATGTGTCTTGATTTAAATAAATTTATATTTACATTGAAATATACAGCTGACATTTGAACAATGCCCAGTCAAAAATCCAATCATAGCCTATTCTGACCAGGGTCAGAGCTGCGCTGAGAAAGGGCACTCCCTGCCCCACTCTTCCTTGGTCATAGCTCCTATTCTGAGGCTGAAGCCACGGTATGGAGCAAGACTACACGGCATCCCCCAAAGACCCAGTTTGAGGTTTGCTGTTAAAGCCACATCTGGACTCCCAGTCACTGGGACAGAATCCTGGGTGCAGCCCTAGTCCTGCCATCCTGCATTGACCAGTCATCCCCATGGTCTCAGTTTCTCTGGAGGGTGGAAGCTGAACTTCGGTGGGCACCTTCCTCCAAGGTGTAAAACTATCTCCCGTCCTGAAGATTCAAGAAAATTTGTTTTTCCCTTTAGTAAAATCAATTAATTAGCAAACTCGGTACAGTTTGAACCTTCAATAACAATAAATGTGTCACTATCAAACACTCTTATAAGAGTATTTCATAGCTCCTGTTCACTATCTCACTGCTTGATGATCAATATCTGCTGGGTTCAGTGCTGTGTGTGTGTGTGTGTGTGTGTGTGTGTGTGTCTGTGTGTCAGAATAGATATTAGGCATAAATAAGAGAAATAAGTCATGATTTTTGAATTGCTTTCAGGCTAAATAGCAATCCAGAGAAACTATATTGTGAAAGTCTTGGAATCCAGTATTAGCTTTTAGTATTGGAATAAACAAACTAGGAAACATAAAATGGATATTCTTACCATTTCATACTAGAAACCAACTGCTTCACTTTGAAGAAACAGTTTCTCAAGGTGGTTTTCTACTTTTTCTGAAATGGTTTTATCTGCTTAATTTATCTACATAACCCATATGATCAATTACTAAAACATTTTCTTATGAATAAAAAGTTACATTGCTGCCACATGTTTTTTTTTTCTTTTTTTTTAATGTTTCACCCTTTTATAATTCAAAACCTCTTTTTGGTGAACAAATTCTTCTTCGATTTCTAAAACAATATATATTTTACCTTGTGCCTGGTGAGAGCTACTTGATGATCCATCATGCTTATCTCAGAAGTACTTTGCAATTCACTGAGAAATTGCTTAATCCATACAGAAAAGGAAAGTAGCAACTCATCAAATTGCTGGTGTTCAGCAACCACAGACTGGAGAAAACTGATCCTGTGTGGAGAGAGATAGAGCTGAAGTGTCCTATAAGTGTATAGCGAGGGTTAATGGTACATTTGTGAATGAAGCCAACCCCGGGCTAATTGTGATGTCATTTGCAGACAAGCCCGACCTCTTGGTATGTTTTACTCCCCAAACCCCATTTTTCTGATAGCATCCTCCACCTCAGTTAACATGACCACCATGCACGCAGTGGCCTGCCCTGAAGGACCACTCTTCATTCCTTCACCAACCCATCTGATCTGCTCATGCCCTCTGTCACACTATCTCTTGACTCTGCTTTTCTCTCCATTTCCATGACTCACACCCCAGTTGAAGTCTCTTCGTTTCTTGCCTGGCCTCCAAGAGCCTGCTAAGCTGGTTTCCTTCCTGCCAGCCTTCCACTTCTGCCTCCCTGAAGTCCACTGTCTGCATAATGGCCAGAAGCGATTTCATGTGATCTGTGCATTCCCGGTCATACTTAAATAATGAGGCAGTTTCCTATTACAATGAGGAACGCAAAACCCCTAAACTCTTTACGATAGTCTACAAGGGACATCACGTAGACACTGCCCTGGCCTTGTCTTACACAGCTCTGTCCCACCCTCCCACTGACCTCTGTTCCCTGATGTCATCACTGCCTTGGTGCCTCTGCTCTCCAAGCATCCTTTGCACAGCACCCAGCTCCTCATTAGATGTCATCTTGCCAGAGAGGCCTCGCTTGACCATCCTAAAGGCTAAAATGCTCCACCCTGCAGTCCCTACCACAGTACCTATTTTGTTGGTAATACTCACCATCACCTGAAACAGTCTTGTTTATTCATTTGCTTATTATATAGGAGATCAGAATCCCAAACTGGCATTAGAATCAATGCCTCAATCAAATATTAATAGTTATTACATTAATTCATGCTAATTGTTTTTTTGTGTTTTTTTTTTGGGGGGAGGGAGAAGCTTTTGCTATAGGGCACGTGTGCTCACCAGACAGACAGAGACAGAGAGACAGAAAGTGAGAAATCACTCCCCAGGGGGATGGGCACGCTGCAATCTATTCTCCCTCATTCTCCTCTTGGGATCTTCGGCACACATGCACACGTGCTCAGCATGAGTTTAAGCCACTGGGTCCGGGACTCAAACTGTGGTTGGCTACGTGGGAGTTCAGTGACATAGCCATTATGCTAACTGCTGGTCCCCGTGCTAATTGGTTCAAATTATCTCCAAAATAAAATGTGGTGAGCCACTGTAATGGTGTGGAGAGGGTGAAAATCTAATCCAATCACAATATTGAGACAGAGGCTTTGGAGCATGATTAAGGATTAGATAAGGTCATCAGGGAGGGGGGCCCCCCATGCTTGCATCCTGGTGGGTTTCTAAGGAGAAATACACAGACAAAGATATGCATGGTCTTTTTCTGTCTCTTAAGGCAATGTTACCTTGACAGTTACATAGAGCCCCCCACCAAGAAGGAGATCCTCACCAGATATGACCCCTTGACCTTACACTATTAAACTGTGAGTTAAATAAACCTCTATTCTTTATAAATCATCCACTCTCAGGTATTTCATTATTAAACATCAGATAACGGACTAAGTTTATATCCAAAGTCAACTTTCAAAATTGACTTCCATGTTTTAATCCTTAAAACAATCTTTCACACATTATTCATACATGTATAAGTTATATTTTGAATGCCTTCACACATTTGTCACATTAGAAGTCTTTTCCTTCCCTTCTAAGAGACAGAGGGCAGATATGGCTTTGTACAGAAAAGTGTTTATCTTTCAAGAGGTGTCATCAAATTCTGCCCAAACTCATGCAAATATTCCTTCTTTATGGTTGCCTCTCTCATTGATTTTCTTGCCACACCAATTTGTAATTATGTGAGATCAAGTTTTGTTGATTTTTATGACACCAGTATCTGATAAGGAGCCCCACACTCAGCCAATAAATGTGTGTTCGGTGACTGAATAGATAAATGAATGAACAATGGAATAAATACTTGCTGCATGGAAGTAAAGAGTGGAGCTATTTATTGTTGTTATCCTCAGCACATTTAAGAGTACTGTACTCACTGGAGAAAATTAATGAATATTAACTGTATGACTAAATATTTAAAGGGCCAGAAAAGTTAAATGGTTATCCAAGATCACATGAGCAATCAATACCAGCTTAAAGAGAAAATTTGTTTTCTGGTTTATCAATAAAGTATTGATGTCAATCATTAATGATCTTAATTTGTGCCTCCATGTAATATAATAATTTCCTCTGAGCTCTCCAAAGGTCTATATTGGAATGAAAGAGAGTAGCTTACCTATAGAAAATGACTCTGGTTGAGAACCATCATGTGAAGCTGTGAAAGTTTTTTAGAATCAAAACGAAATGATTTGTGTCATTTTTCACTAAGCCAAGCCAGGAAGACCCTGGAAGAAGTGTTTCCTCACACTGGTATGCCTGATAACGACAGTGATTGGGAGAACTCTGCCAGAATCCCCACCTTGCACAAAGAGCACTACAACCCATCACAAGGACTGCTTCTGCAAGGACATCTGTCCCGAGACTGGATGGAAACCACTCTTATTATTGATCCTGGGAGCCAAGGCCTGTTGTCCCCAAACAATTATTATAATCCCCTTTTCTAACTCCCCTCCCACTTGTGCTTTATGAATTTTCACTTTAAAATTTGTCCAAGAATTGTGAAATTCCAGAGAACTTGTTTGGGAATAATTGAATTATGCTCACCCAGCTTGCATCTTGCTGTAGTCTTCAATCTTATGCCCAAATGTGAAGTCCTTTTTGCTTTACATATTTGCCTCTGTTTATCTTTCTAGGTTAACCAAGCTATATTTTAGTTACTTTTTTTTTCTCCTGGACACACATAGCTCAGGCAATAAGCAATATAAGCATTAGCATCTCTACTCTCTACAGCAAATTTCAACTGGTTTAATCATTTGCCCTGACTCTTAGACTAAAATTTTGAACTGCGGCTAATTGGAAGTGCTCATTTTTGAGGATCCATATTTTTAAAATGACAGATAGTTTTTGTCTCCTGTAGTGATCCACTGAGTAGCTGGGTTAAAGAAAAGTAAACAAAACTATGCTTTCTTAATTTACATGCCCACTCTTTAAAAATAAATGAACAATATTGGAATGCTTTTTTAGAACCAACCTTTTGCTAATTATCTGAGGTAAATCTCTCCATCTCTCATCTAACTGCTCCAAATGTAGCTTCATCATTTTCACATCATCTTTGGAGGCCACAGAGAACAGTGATTCCTTCAGTTGCAACAGGTTGCTGTAGAAGGAGGCCTGGGCTACAACTTCATTTTGCAGTGCCTGAAAAAACAGAATCCATTACAGATCTCATCCCTATATGACTGCCCAGAAAGGACCATGTGACACAAGTGGTTACTGCAATTCTTGCAAAACAGAAACCATTGGACTGACAGTATTAATCAAGAAGGTATTACTTGATTTCAGAATTGATTCACTTAACCTTCAATGCAATTTAAAAATGCTACTGAAACTTGACTGTGTTTCCTAGAGTCTAGATTATATTAAGGGAGGCACATTTAGAAGCTTTAGAATATCTTTCAAGATGAAGGGAAAAAAAAAAAAAAACAGGCCAAGAGAATTAAGAAGAAAGCAAGCATGCAATCAAAAACTATTACTAAAGAAAACCAGTACTTATCTAACAATAAGAGAGATGCATTTTTAAGTACCTGCAATGTGGTTCTCCTCTCTGTTTAGATATTACATTAGGACAAACTGGAAAAATTAAGGGTTCTTCATTTTACTTTCATGCACCAGAACAGCTATTTTAAAAATCAAATTAGGCAATGAATCTCTTAGGTGATGTGCAAGGCATAAATATGTGTGCCACCTGCCTAACAAGAAAGAAACTGGGGACACTCACATAGATAGCTAACACCATAGAATGGTATGGGATGACAGGTGGAGCATTGCAGATAGTAGATGCTTGTGAAAAGATATACATAATTAAATGTAAATATTTTTCATTTAAAAAATAAAAACCAAAAATCATCTCTACTCTTTTTTCTTATGCACTTTTCACAAATTACCTGAAATGTGTGTCTGCATCTTATACATCACTACGGTCAGATTTCTTTAAGAAATCTTTGAGGGACCGGCAGGTGGTGTGGTGGTTAAGGGCGATGGACTCCCAGATGGCTATCCAAAGTTTGAGTCCCAGACCTGGTGGCTTCCCCTCTCCCTGTCCCTCTATGGTCAAATTAAAATAAATAAATAAAGTGAAATAAAATAGTTCTTTTAAAAAAGAAATCTTTGAAATATTATCTTACAATAAATTATGTATATTTATTTCTATTAAAAAATATTTCTTTCTCTTCCTAGTGAGGCTATCTGTGTGATACAGGCAAACTTGCTAACAGTAACAGCCAGGAATGCACAGCCTGTGAGTAACAGGAAAGACCACCATGTAGAACTGGGACTTACACTGAGCTGTAAAAGTGAAAGAAGCAGGGCAGGATGCTATACTGGGGAGTGGGGAAGGGCTACAGTCATTTTTGGCTCATATGTACATGTGTCTGTCATGATCTTCAAGTTGGTGGGTCTCGGGTTCGAACTACAGAATTGGCCATATGGGATCCAGTGCCTCAACCTTTATGCCACCTCCTGGATCACTTTTATTAATATCACTTTTTACTACCCAGAATTCATACAAATACAAAAATGGATAAATTATATGTACTACCAGCTTCAGAAGTTATAAATTGATATTCAACCTTGTTTCTTCTGTATTTCTACCCATCACTCCCTCAAAATCCCAACCAGATCATTTTTATTCAAATGCCAAACATGGCACTACAGGATTGCTACTATATCAGGGAAACTGCTCATCACAAGTTCTCATCATCCCTTTGCCTTTCAGATCAGGCTTGCTTGACATAAAATGATGCTTCAGGGACCTTAAAACCAAACAAAGTAGTGAAGTGGGATAGAGATTTATTTATTCTTCTTATTCGTTTGTTTTTAAAATAATGCAGCCATAAGAGAGCATTCGCTTTCCTCCCACACCTTTCTTTGAACTTGCCTGAATTGATTGAAGTTCTCCCTCCACTTTGACTCTATCTGCAGAAATTTCCACTTCGGGGGAACTGGCTATAGCTTCACACCGCTCCAACCAGGTCAGAAAAGATGACAGTTCTTTCTCTAGTCTAAAGAAAGCAAAGAAATAATCAAATTCATCCAAAATTATCATGCTAGAGGGCTAAACCTTTCAAAAGGTGGAGGTCCAACATGAGCCATTATAAATAATACCATGTTGGCTATCACATCCCGAGATGTGAGGCTACAAAGCACTCCTTCCATTTCTGTGTATCTGCACACTTGTGTATGTCTGGGTAATACATAAAAGACAAACGTATCTTCTCTGCTCTTGGCAATCTTCATCTGGTCATCCAGATCAAGATCTTCCTACAGCAGACACATGAGATCACGTGTTTCAAATCTAGGATAGCTCTTCCCCATCACCCCAGAATTCCTATTTAATAGTGGCCATGACTCAAGAGAAGAAGTTGCTCACCTCTGCCAGTGGGCCAGCAGGTCTCCCAGCGCTGTCTGCCTCTCTTTAGCCTGACTTAGGGCCCCCTCGTACCGCTTCTGTAGCAACGCAGCCTCCTGAACACAGGAGTCTCTGTTGACCACCTTCTGGGCACTGGCTGAGAAGGTGGTCACTGTGCCACTCAGGAACTCCAGGGCCTGACAGAGATCCTTCAGAGAGTACAAAAGGAATCCAATGAAAGCATAGGGTCAAACCACAAGATCTATGTTTTCCTTTTTCCACCATTGCAAAATATCTTCCCTCAGTCATAATAAACAGCAGTGGCACCAAAATATGTCTCTACTCATGATCTGCAGCAAGGAATAGTGAAAATGAGGAGAAAGTTACTTTACGGATGCAGAAATCAAAAATAAAAATGGAGAGATTCTCTCTCCCCTCAAATCCTCATGTACTTCTTTATACCTGAATAAATTCAACTTTCCTGTGACAATTCAGATAATTTGTGAAAATTCTTATTCATTTTATGGTAAATATGTTTTAGGTTTTTTAAAATACTTACTTTTAATTCATAAAAGCTACATGTAACACATTATATTCTTTATAAAACTGCATAGAAATACTGGGCCAGATGGTGACAAGGTGGTTAAGATGGTCGGATCCCACAGGGCCGAATGCATGGTTTGTCTTAGACCCAGTGACTTGAAAAACATGATTGGCATGTGTGTGTACATGGCCAAAATCACTCTCTTCACTCTCCCCTCTCTCTCTGTGTTTCTATTCTGGCAAGCACACATGTCCTTTTATAAAGTTTTTTAAAATATTATATATAAATGAATATGTGTGTGTGTGTATATACATATATGACAGTTATGGATGAAATGGTTGTCATCAGGGACCTGTGATAATAATAAAATGATGCCTCAGACTCTGGCAGGAACCATTCTGTGCACATGACACATATTAATGGCATTGACTCTTCATAAGAACCCTAAGATGTATGCTCTTTTATTATCTCCATTTCACAGACCAGAAAATCAAGACAGAAAAATAATTTGTTTTAGGAAATTGAAATATTCAAAGAAATAGACTAGCTTCTCTGGGACTCTATTATTAACGTGGTTGTCTGTTATTCTCAATGTAAGTATTCAGGCAATGGAAGTCCCACTTCTCTTTGCAGGTGTGCTTTGTCAGTCGTTTGCTATTACTGTAGCTCTCTTTCTATGCAGTTATGTCCCTATGTGCACATGTGCACTTGTGAAGGCAATTACATGTGTTTTTGTTTAATATTTAACCCGTTTCTCCATAGCATTCTGTGTGCCTGATCATGCTGTGGTGATCTCTCCTGCAAATTCTGCTGGAGCCATCTATGTGTTGCCTTGAGGAAGATTCACAATGATCAGTTCAAAGCCCAGACCAAAAAAGCTAGCCATGGGACCAGCAGTTAGTGTAATGGCTATGTCGCTGAACTCCCATGTAGCTGATGGCAGTTTGAGTCCCGGGATCGGTGGCTTAAACTCATGCTGGGTACATGTGTGTGCGTGCCCAAGATCCTGAGAGAGAGGAGAAGGGAGGAGAAGGGATTGTGGCATGGCCATCCCTCCTGTGGGGTGATTTCTTGCTTTCTATCTCTCTGTCTCTCTCTCTCTTTTTGATGAGCGCACGAGCTCTATAGCAAAAACCCCTAAAAAAAAAAAAAAAAAAAAAAAAAGCCAGTCATTAGAAATAGGTCAGTGAGGATGATGTATGCTTTGCAGATCTCAATGTAGTGGGTTATATGAATATGGGGTTAGACAGTGGTACAAGAGGACTGGCTACATGAGAAGGTTCTAGGTTCATGCCCAGGTCCTGGGCTGGCTGAGACTGCAGAGGCCCTGTTGAGGGTACTGTCTCTCTGTCTCTGTCTCTTTTTGACTTTCTCACTCATAGAAGAAATGGATTAGTAAATATTTTAGAAATCCACCCTTTAGAAAAAAAAAGTGAAATCTGCTATGCATGTGTATTTTTTTCTTGCATATTTAATTTTTTTATAATGCTGGCAAGAAGTAAAAGAGTTTATGAAAGCTATACTCTGAAAATGTTACATGTTCTAATTAGGAGAGAAATGTAGTTTGAACAAATATTCCTTTAATGTACATTTCTAAGGAAAACTTATTTGCATACTTACATTTCCTGTGTTTTAGGAAATGAATACATTTGAGCTATATAATTCATCAACAAAAAATCTTTCCAATTTTAATTCTCATAAACATATGTACTCTGTTTTCTTTTCAAGCAAGAATTGTCAAATTTTTGAGTTGATGAGTAAGTAGAAATGTTGAACCATAATCTTACCATATGTTCCTGGAGAACTTTGTATGTTTCTGTAGCTGAAGAACATATTTTAATTGGATCAGCGAGCTTATCTTCAAATTCAGACACAGACTGCTGAATCTAAAACATTCAGAAAATATAATAATGGTGAAAAAAATATACATCAAGCCCAAAAAGTTACTCATAAAACAGCAAATTTGTCTTTTATGAATAACTTCTAATGTGATGATAAAATGCGATTTTAAAAAATATAAAATCAATGTGTTCCATTATTTGAAAAGAAAATAATTAAGCTGTAATGACTGCCTAAACACAATGTATAATATTATTCTTATATTCCCACAACAAATGTACCATATACTTCTAGTCATCATGACAATGTGGTAAATAATTAGCAATTGTGTCTCTTCCTTATTCCATGATTTGTGGAATACTTACTGCACTTTTCCATAAATACAATGAGAAGGGTGTAACTTAAGCAGGCACAGACCAGTTCTTACCTTTTTAAGATTCTCTTCAAACTTCTGCTGCTGAGATAAATGTCCAAAGATTGTCCCTTGCAGACACTGTGCATGTTCTCGGAGTTCTTCCCAGTATCTTCTCAGCTGTGTCAACTTGGCTTTGATTCGAGCAGATTCTCCAGTGGTAATAAATTGAGCAAAAGACTGAGCTGCTTCTTCTAATTCTGTAATGTTGCTGAGCTTACTCTCTATTTCCTGAATTGTGACCTAGTATTTAAACAAGACAAACAAAAAATTCACAATGCAGGCTGAGCAAGCTTGCCTTCCTGAAATGATACCATTAACTGCAGAAAGAGAAAATGAGGAACACTTCCTTAACTGACATTTCAACACACTCAGATGGTTAGGGAGAGAGCAGTTATGAACAAACACCATGTGTTTCCTGACCTCATTTTGAAGAGGATACATATGCAGACACTCTGTAAACTGCTGGGTGTTGTACGCATTGGAAGGAGGGTAAGAAATACTAGCTACTTCTGCTTACAGTGAAGTGAGCATGAAGGTCCCTAGAACCTGTACAGTATCTCTGGAGCTCCAGAGAATTAATTATCTACTTATCCTATGGATCAAGCATTTTAATCAGCTGATGTGGGGAAGCAATGTGTTCCACCACCTCATAGGAATGCTAATACTGACGTTCATTTAATTTTCCTAAAATGTAGTTGTATTTCATGTTTAACTAAAACTGAAAAGATTTTTGATTGCATCTCTACCTAAAAGCAGTCTTTTCAAATATGTCATCTATTCTTTTTGCCAGTGGTCTCCAACTTTAGATTGCACTAAGATCACATAACTCCCATCTCCGGGGATTTTGACTCACTAAGACTAAGGTGAGGCCCAAGGCTTTTAATTTCTAACAACTTCCCAGACGAGGCTGATGCTGTTGCTCTTATCACTCCATTGCTTTTCATGGGCTGGGTACTGGGCAGTAAAATCCTCCAGACTAGCATTTGAATTTGAGGCAGAAATGACTGGTTTATGTTAGCTAACACATGAGAAGTATTGATATCTACTAAGTATGTGTGCACATATGTCTGTGAGGGGGTAGTGTTCCTTTTAAACACAGAGGCTTACTTATGTATAATAAAATGAGAATTATTTCTCTGAGACAAAAGGTCAAATCATTTAACCCACATAATGCCACAAATTAGGACAAGTCTTGGTTTCAAATCATTTAAATTGAAAATACTATTGCCCTCAAAGAAATTAACTTGTGATTTCTGTCTAGATGAGACAACATATAAATCATTTCTGTCTAAATGAGACAATCAGAAATAACTTACATCAGATTAAATGTCAGGTACATATTCCTTATTTTTAACGTGTGTGACTAGAGTGGTGTTATCTGATAGATATTTGTTGTTTGAGCACTAATGTGGAATCTCTTCATTTTGCTGGGTTTTAAAGTCAAAGACTTAGAAAATTACTCTTAAATTGAACAAATATATATTGATGGTCTCCTTGTACTAATAATGGTTCTAAGTGCTTGCAACATATTGGTAAAACAATCTTAGTTAAGAATAGAGTTGTCATATATGTTGGTTGTTAGAATAATACATGCTATCCAAAAATGCATAAATATAAACAATACAATCATATTGCTGGGTTGCGTTTAAAAAGAAAAATCCCATCCAAGAGAAGATGGAACATGAATTCAGCATATGTTTTTAATCATTTATCAATTATTGATTAGGAATAAGAAATCAGTCACTTGAATAGCATGTAATGATGAACAGAAATGGGCTTTAAGTATTTACCTTCATGATAATGTAAATGCTTTATTTTTAATCCTAAAAATATCTTCAAGTGAGAATGCATGACAAGTGTCACTGTACTTATAACATTTCCTTTAATGTAGTCTTGTGTTTGGAAATAGGAGGTGAACATATTAGGACAGTGTATTCTACTCTATTTTGGCTAACTTCTAGCAAACATCTTCCTAGAATTCATATTTATTTAACATATTTCAAAATAGTTTTCAAAATACAATGTTGGACATGTTAAAATGTATTTCTGGTCTGGTGGCACAGAAATCCACAAACGAATATTTATACATTTAAAAAATAAAATATGTTTTTCTTAAGAATAACAATAAATGACCACTGATATATTTCAAAAGTCCTGAAATAAAGGTTAGAACACTAGGAAATGAATTATAGAAAGAATTAGTAAGTTTAAACATGAATGTTAGTTTTAGAAAAAGAATATTTTAAAAACAAAACTATTTGAATATACTATTATTTTTTCTTTATTGTCTAAAATTTAGGAAAATTATTGAATGACAATTTTGAAATACAGTTTTAAAGATTTCATGAATATTCTTTAATGGACCGGCATCTATTTTTCCTAGCATACCATCGAGGACATAGCAGACTGTGTGTGCCACACTCCATGCATCCTTGATCATAAAAAAAGGTGTGACAAGCAAGGACAACCTACACAGCGTGCAATCTTAGCTAGGCAGCGCTGCAGCCACCCACCCTGACATGGTAACAGCTTGTTCTGAGTCATAGTGTGAAATGTTCCTCACCTCGGTATTTATTTTGCTATATTTAATTGAATGAAAGTGCAGAGGGGTTTTCTACTTTAAAAAAAAATGAGCTGAGATAGAAAAATAAGTGGCTGAATTGTGAAAATGTGTGGGGGGGAACTATATAAAATAAAGAGAGATCAACCTTCTGTGCTCTTTTTTTTATCTCATTTTTTCTTAAACTATTTGAATGAAATGGATGATGGTAGTTTATCCACATGGTTATTTTAAAGCTGAGGGAGCTGAAATATCAGAAAATTCCCACCCGTATCCTAAGGTCATAAAACACTAGAACTATAGAAATGATCTTGGGGCCAGCAGGTGGCGTGGTGGTTAAGGTGCTGGAATTCCCACATGGCCAACTGTGGTTCAAGTTCTGGACCTGGTGGGTTTGTCTCTCTCTCTCTCTCAAAACTCATGTGAAATAATAATAATGATAAATAAATAAAATAAATAATTATTTTAAAAAAACACTAGGACAACCAGGATGAGTTGTTTCATCTAAAGAAAGTAATTTTTATAATGCTTCCTCATAGTTGATGAGCGTGAAGACCACTGAAACTTGGGCTAGTCGTTAGGAATGATCCTTACAAAGCACAATTGTGGATGAATGCATTTCACGTTGTATCAATGAATCAACAAAACACGCCATTTGAATTCATCCAAAATCAAGAAAAAGAATAATGTAACCAATACAAATATTTTAATGATATTGTACACAATAATGACTTCAAATGCATAAGTCAGATGAATTAATACATATTTCAGCTGTAAAGTGTGTTGTTCAGTATCAATCAAGACTTCTTAGTTTGGTATTTGAGGTGAATTAAATTTTAATAGAATCACATAGCAATGAAAGATTTGTTCTGCGACCAAAGAGCATTAGAAGAAAAGTAGGAAAGAAGTTCTTAAAAGTTAGATATGGATTAAAACACAACGTGTGAGCAGGTCACCTTAATTTGGCTGATCTGCATGTCCATGGCAGAGGATGAAGTTTCCAACGCATTGAGTTCTTTTTCTTTGTCAGTTATCCAGATGGACAGGGTCTCAAAATTACTGCCAAAATGATCCCATTTGTTTTTCACCATTTCCATGGTTTTAATACTAAAATTAACCAAATTAAATCAATAAAGTGCATTATTTTAATGGAGAACAACAACACATTTTCCTATAAATCACCAGGTGAAAAGATAGTGAAGACATTTGTGACTAATTCAAAGTTGAAATAATTTGAGAAGGAAAGAAATGCACATTAAATCAGAGAGGTTTGCTGGGTCTCACATCTTCCTATCTCAGCTTAAAGCAATGAACAAGGTTGCACCTATCCTATGTACCCATCCATAAATGGATCTGCACTGCATTTAAATATTGCTGGCTCCAAACAGGTTTGAGTCTGGGTATAATCCAATTAAACTCTGCATGTGACCAGTAGTTGGCAAGACTTATTTTGATAAACTTTGCCAGGACTGATTTTGATAAACTATGACAGACTAGATTCTAGAGAACATAGCTTTTTCTTTTTTTAAAATTAGATTTTTGCCATAGGGCGCATGCACTCACTGGAGAGAGACAAAAAGAGGGAAAGTGGGAAATCACCACAATCCCTTCTCCTCCATTCTCCATTAGGGATTTTGGGCATGCACACACACAGGCCCAGTGTGTTTTTCAAGTTGCTTTGTCCAGGACTCAAACTTTGCAGATGGTCACGTGGGATCCAGCTCCTTAACCACCATGCCACATATTGGCCAAGTGTTTTTAACAATCCTATTTTCATGGACATATTCCTTTTTCTACTAAAGTGAAGACATTACATTGATGCTTTATGCTAAAAGATCATTATAGATGCATCTTTATAAATCAAGAAAGGGTGTGTGTTCTGAATCTTATGCTCCCAAATAAGAACTTTTCCTATCATTAGAGCTAAGTCTGCAATTTATGTCTTGTAATGATTTCATTTATTTATAGATATTCTGTGGTCCTGATTCCAAAAAATTTTATAAACTCTTATGCATGAGCACCCTCGCTATTTTTGAACAACTTAGGTGCTGTTTGTAATAAATCTAGTAAACAAAATTTCAACTATATATTCCCAGTTTGTATTAGCTATGCAAATGTAACCAAGTGAATATGGCTTTAAGTTTAGAAAAAGACTATGAAATTAATAGTATATCATTGAACTCATAAGTCCTTGGGTCAAACAACAACAAAAAAGGTGAAAGAAAAGTCCCTGTTTACCAAAAGGCACTTGAAGACATCAAGAAAATACAATGGAATCGATTGTCTAATTAAACAGTATTGCAGTCTCAAATTTATACATCGTGTGTGCCTAATGCTCTCAACAGTAAAGGAAGTGCAAGCTATGTTATGTTATAAATTTTTAAACGAAGTAAAGATTCAAATGTGTATTTTTAATAGAAGTAGCTTGCTTTCTAATAAACTTTAAGTTTTACATCCATAAATTTATGGAGCATATTTAATATGAAAGTCCTCAAAGTTTCAAGTCTTAGTTTGTTTTAAATATAATATTTAACAAAATTTTGAAGTTTGTGTAAAATGTAAAATGTTAATTTCAAGGTGTTACTAGTATTAAAAACAAATTTTATATCTCAAAATTCATCTTAGAGATGATGTCCTTTTTATTAGGCATGATATGTGGACATATCTCTGATTTGCCACTAAATAACTTTTAAAATAGACACATTTAGCCATACTGTTCTGAAGAATATTGACCATATTATTATATTCTTATCCCCCAAAATTTCTCTCGCTATATGATATATATATATATATAT